AAAAATTAAATTGTTAGCAAATTGGTATTTCTTAACAATAGTCCATAATAAGCAGGCTAAGACTTGTATGATCTTTTTTCGAATTTTCTACTAAACATTTAGATATCTAAATAGTCTTCGCTAACATTATCTGACGATTTTTTGTGGACTTGTGTTATAACTATTTTGGTTTATTTAAAGTTTATCATCTGTATTTATTATTAATTAATATTATTTATTTGAATCGTAATTAGTTTTCTTTTTAGAGAGGGGAAAATCATCTTAATAGCAATTGCTTGAATATCTATTTCATTACTCATTTTAGAGTGATAACTTTAAATTATCTAGTCTAAGATTTTTTTATGAGATTTTCCTTCTGTTATGCTAGTATAAATTTGCCTTACATTTGTTTAGCGACACCATCCTTAAGCTCCTTTTTTCTATCTCTAAATTTATGATACAAATCCAATTTCAAATCAAGTGTTATATTAGGCATTTAGAGATTAATAATTTCTTCATGCTTTAGAATTTGGTTTAATTGTTCAATAGTGGATTGTAAAATCTTTAACCATCAAATGAGGGAAATCCAATAGGAGAGATTTAGATATTTGATCACTTATATTTTAGATTAACGGTAAATTTGTCAAAGATGAGATGATTGTATTAATCTGGATTGATTTTTTATCCATAAATATATGAGGTAGTATTACTAAATTTCTGTTTCAATTTATAATTGAATTACTTTTCTTTATTATTCTATTTTTTTTGTTTCTCTAAATATTAACTAAATATTAAACCTCAAATCACCTTAGGTTAATCCTCACATATTGTCCACTTCTTAAAACAATCGAAAGATTTGATTATATTCATCCAAAAATTTACATAAAATTCACTAACCATTCCATATTTTGATGTCTTAAAAGTGAAATTTTCTTTTTGAATTTTCCTGTACTCTCAAATTGATGGATATGATTATAAATTTGTATTGTGCATCTTTTTGGTAATATTTCAACCTTAATCTAATATTAACTGATTCTAAAATAACAATAAATATAGGTTAGAATAGCATAATGTTAGATAAGTTGTAAATAAAGTAACATGAATAATGATAATTCATAATAGGAACTATTGCTATGAATACTAACCTATATATTTAATACATAGTTCATAATAGTTTTGATTTCATTTTCTGACAATTTATTTTTTTTGAACTCAAATTTCAGATTTCAATTACTATTGCATGCTCACTTGGATTTTAAGTAAAATAAATTATAAAAAATAATTTCTTTCTTCATAATGTGAATTATTATCTCAAGAGATTTCAAATTTGCTTTTATACTATATCAATTACATGAGCCTTGTACATTAATAGTATACTTCTAAATGGTTTTCATGATTGAAGTAAAAGAGAAAGCAGTTACATGTTGCTTTAGCAATTAAAATTTAAGACAGTAAAATTGTAATCAAAAATTTCAATCATTTTGAGAGAAGATACTTGTGTTTATGGGGAAGAAATATACAATTTTTAAAACTTTATGTTATTTTAGAGATACAATATATTTTCAGAATTTCTAGAATTCAGATTAATTGTATTAAAGGATGGACTTAGGAAAACAGTATGGAAAAGTTTATAAATCACAAAACTATATTTGATAAATGAGAGTCCACAATTTCATCATTTCGCAGGGTTCAAACTAATTGGCCATATAGGTTACCAATTAAAGGTAATTTTAGAGCATCAGGTCGAAATATTAGTGAAGATAGATTTAATTATGCGAAGATAGAATCCCTTCTTTTCAATTATTTTAATAGAAATGGGAAGTATAAAGAAAAAAAGATTTATTTCTTAAATCTATTATGAATTGATATTTATAGGCGAATTCACTTTGGGTATCATTTCAAAGTCAACTCATAAATAGTAACATTTATTAGTAGGTTAACGAATCAACATACAGAATCTCTAGTTTTAAATATTTAATAGGTTAGCTAGGATATAAGATCTTTCGTAATAATAAATTTTTTATAAAAACCGGAAAACCTTACCAATTTTACGATTTCCTTATACAAGTAATATCAATGGCGAAAGATCATTATAAGGATAAAAATTTTCTACTAATTATAGACTATTATCGTACATATTATTCATGCGGAATTGAATTAATTTTTACTTAATTTCTTAACATATTTTCTCCAACATATCGGCCAGGGTTCAACTAAAAATTATTAAGATATAAGTGTTGAAATAGCTGATATAAACAAATAATTAAATATCTCGGCTCCTTCAATTACTAGACTGGTTGTATTGTAAATCAGATCAATTTATCTAATTATTCGTCTAAAAATGAATATTTGTAAGAAAATTTCGATATTAAAAATGTACAAAAACGTTAGGCAATTGTACGACTCAAACATAAATTCAAAAAACATCTAGACTTCACCATCTAAATATTTCTTAAAATTAAGAATTAAATGGATTCAATTACTCTAGAAAAGATAGAAGTGAAAAACAACTTCGAAAGTTCAAAAATAACATAATTCGGAGTAGAGAATTTGAGTAAAATTTATATATTAATTTTATTCATTAGATTAAAAATAGAATACTTAAACAAATTTAAGAGAAAGCAATTATTCTTGCTTTTTTATTTGAGGATTCATGAAAGAATTCGAAGAAAATCAGGCTAAATACTTTTCCATATTCACTTCGAACAAGTAAAACAGTATTTTTTTATGATTTATATAACTGATTGATTAAGATTGTTATAAATTTTAAATGAATAGAAAT